GTATGGAGATTAAATCTAGATGTTCTCTGCCTTTGAGCTACATCTCTATACTAGTTAATTAATTAGTAGATAGTTAGACAAGCTCTGGCTAGGTTGCCCAGGGTGGCCTTAATCTTATGATCCTCCTGCCTTAGCCTCCCAAGTAGCTGGGATTGTAGTAGGCATGTGCCACCATAGCGAGCTGGCTCACTCTTTCATATCGACTCAGCCTTGGGAGACTAATCACATTCCATGCACACTAGCTTAATTCCTTCAGAGAACTATGCCCACAATGACCTAATTACTTCCTACTAGGCCTCACCTCTTGTTATCACCTCCCATACTGTCCCACTGAGGACCAGTGTTTCAACAGATAGACCCTTGAAGCAACACACTCAAGCCATATGGAGCATCCATATGTTTTCCCTCACCATCAGCATACACTATAGAAGGATCACCCAGCCATGCCTCCCTGAACTTCGGACCCACAACACTGAGATGCGTATAGCAAAATCATTGCCTTCTTAGGCCATTACATTTTTAGAGTATTGGTTATACATTTTGGGAGCACTGGTCTGTGAATATAGAGGAACAGACCAACCATATCAGAATCACCAATGGGGCTTATTTAAATGTATGTGGTAGGCCTTGGCTAAGATTTAGGGAATTTAAACAGAGCCAGAAGAGCCTGGCAGCCTCCCTGCTGGTCTTCTAACTTGGGATATAATCATGACAATTATCTTTTGGGCCTTCTGTGACAATTCTATATGTCCAGTGGTCTTATTGTCCATACATTGGACATAAAATAACAAAACATAAATTCTACATGGCAGCCACCGTGGCAATGTGTCTGAAAGTGACATAGGACATTTAGTCCATTTATAATGAGGCTGGATGCTACCCAGCAGGATATTGTTTCTTCTGCAGGAAGAAGGGAAAGGAGCAGTTTCATCCTTGCCTTAGAACAAGCACAAAATCACAGATGGTCAGCTCATAGATGGTCAGGCTCACGGGTTTTGGATTAAAATAGACATAAGATCAAATCCTTGTTCTAACTATAAACAGTGGATTTTTAACAACTCCAATGCTTTCTTCTCATTCTTAGATGGAGATGATAATGCCTGTCTCAGGGTATTATCAGTTTTTTAATATATGTGCTGCTGAAGCAACTACTCATGGTTTTATTGATAATTGAATAAGATACCATATGAAATATGCCTGCCATAATATCTGACACAAACGTATACTTCAATATTATTAATAGTTTCAGTATTAGAGCAGAAAAGAACCTCTGTTCCAACAAACAGACAGATGGCTCGACACAGCAATAAGAAAGTGTCACTCTGCAGGGAGTGAGTCTCCTGGAGTAGTTCTCATGCAAGCTCAGGGCTAACAGTGAACAAGTGCAGTCAGATAAAATTGCCTGCAAGGGAACAGTAGCAGCCCGGTTCCAGGAAGTGCGTTGTCAACAGGATCCTCACACTACGTGGAGAAAATTAGCCAAAATCAGGCAACCCAGAAGATAAGAAACGTAGACTGGACCAGAGTAGAGATTAATCTCTAAATCTGTATTTCCTAAATTATTTGCTATGAAGAATTAGTTTACAAAACGCTTGTTTCAGGCCAATGTTTTAAAAACGAAAATCAGTGAAACCATTGTGGCAACCATAGTCCAAGTTGCTAAATGTTAGTGTAACAATTTCTAAACATTGTTTAGAACCAGTGGCAAGCAATACTGAACTTTCAGTAGCACTGGCTTAAGAAGTCTGCTTGTTTGATTTTTGTTTTCATACCTGCTTTTTATTACTCATGTTTTTTATATTTAAAGAGAAAAACAAAACAAAACAAAACAGTAAAAGTGTACAAGTAATACAGAATTTCAAAAAAATAAACAATAAGAAATCACTAGTTAATAGATTACATATTGTCATCTTAGAAATAGTTGTTCAAGTTACAAAATTAAAGCATACAAAATGGACATTCAAACATTGAGATTGCAAACAGTTCTGTTCAATGATCCAACAAAAATTTAGTAATATGGTTTTCTATCTTACACACTTAAATATACATGCATTTATATCATTTAGAGCACTTTCTTTTCCTTTCTTTTTTACAATAACAATTACTCATGTTTTGTTTTAATAGTTGCTGAATGCAGTGAAACTGAAAGTTTAGATCAGGGTCTCACTTCTTATGATATCACCTACAAATTATCTCACTTAAACTAAGACGTGTATCTGGGCCTGTCTGTTAGTGTGTGCACAAATCCACACTGTGCTGGAAAGGGGAGGCAGTGTGAGTGGGCGGAGAGAGAGGAGAGTGAGTGGCCTGAATCTGGAAGTCAAGCCCGGACTCCTTCTCAGCACCTTCTCTTAAGACAAACCCATTTATAATAAGAATAATAAATGTTAATACTTATTAAAATAATATTTAATGTAAGGTGTAATTATATAATAATTAAAATGTATCCCTTTAAAGGGCAGAAATGTAAATACTTCCTGTGTATGCTTATTAATCCTTTTGTTGTCTTCTTAAAGTCTTGACATTAAAAAACCTTTTAAGAAGTAAATTATAAATAAGCTTGGGAATAATATGGGCCTAGAATATGAAAGTAGTCACCTGTCTTCCATTGGCCTCTGTAACATGTTACTTAGCCACAACATTTCTCTTGGCCCTGAGAGGCATCTGGCCACCTAGGTGGTCTCAGCACCGACCTCCAGCCCCATCTCTTAGATTCCAAATGTCAATCAGATATTTTCATTTGATTTCTTGCTATCTTCTAATGCAGGGTGCCTAAAATAACTTCAATTCCACTCTCCCTGTTCCCCCAAAGAATTGCAGCTTCGTATTTCTACCAAACGTGCTACCCACTCTGATAGATGTGTTGGAGTAATATTAGATTCTGCTCTCTACTTTCCACAGGTGAATTCATGCCAGGTAGCCATCCTATTTCTCCCTTGTCTTCCTTTCCAGTGCTGCAGGAGTGAGACTGAGTTAAAATCATCTCACAGATGGTCTATCGCTTCATCCTTCTAGGTAGCACCCGAGGTGTTCCCATCCCTACTCTCTCCCCTCCAAATCATTTTCCGTGCTCGATTAGTCCCTTAGAATAATACCATAATGCTATTGATGTCTTCACAAAAGGCTTTTCTGGTTTCCTAACTCCAGAAAAAAAGGAGCTAAATTCCTCAATGAGGCTTTTAAAACCTTTACAATATGATTTCCCCTATCGACCTGACACCTACAATCAATCCCCAAAATAATCTCTCCACCCCACTCCAGGCCATTCTCTTCCCCGTCCTTTCAGATTCTCAACCTTTCCTCCCAAGAGAACACAAAGTTCCCCCTTCTGGTTACTTTATTCCTGGTCATTGCTCAAGACCAGATACAAACCCTAGCTCTTCTACACAGCCAGCTTCTCCTCCAGCTCACACTAAGTTCTTTGCTGAATACCACTTCCCAGTCTTGTCCATGCTGCATATCTGCTCACAATTCACATTGGTAACCCTCTGTTTCATTTAATATCCAGGAATTTTCATTTTCTTCTTCAGTAGTCACTCCCCTCCCACCGCCATGATGACAAGAACCTAGAGCTGAGCATGTAATAGTGAACAACAATAGGCTGAAGAGTCAATTAGAAAGGGAGGGAGAGAGAGAGAGAGACAGAGGGAGAGAGAGAGAGAGAAAGAAAGAAAGAAAGGGAAAGAGAGAAAGTTATGGAAGAGAAGTAAGACAAGAAAGAAAAAATAACTCTACTTTTCTCTTGAATGACTTGTTTGCCTTTTACATTTCCCAATTTTATAGACTATTTGAACTAAAAGGGTCTTAAAAACCACTGGCTCCAATGATATAACCCTAACTATAAAGATTTGTTGAAAAGTAAACATAGTATAAGTAATGTAGCTGGGACAAATTAAAAAAAAGTATCATTTACCAGCTGTGTGCTCTTATGATGTCATTACTTTCTCTGCTCTTCAGGATTCTCCGTTTGGAAGTGTGACTAGTACCGCACTTCCTCCCTTGAAGGGTGATGTGAATGTTAGATAAAATGATATGCGTGAAGTACTTGGGCAGCGTTGACCATGGCAAGGGTCCAGTGATTGTTAGGGAAAAGATCTCTGCCTGACTTACATCACTAGATTGTGCTCAAAACACATGAAGCAAAATGTCCTAAAGGCTACTTCCAGTCTACGAACAGGCTGTGGAATCAATTTAGTGGGATGTTGTTTTGGTCTGAATGTTTATGTTCCATCCAAACTCGTTTATGACACCTAATCCTCATATTAATAATACTGGGTGAAATCTTTAGAAAGTGATTAGGTGCATGAGATTAATGCTCTTATAGACACAATAGAGAACTGCCCTCCCCTTCCACCTGTTGAAGACACTTCACAGGCGCCACTTATGAGGAACAGAGTCTCACCAGACACTGAATCTACCTTGATCTTGGACTTCCCAGCCTCCAGCATGATGAGGAATACTTTCCTGTCATTAATAAATTACTCTTCTAAGGTGTTTTGGCATCTCAAGTGGACTAAAATAAGCATATTTATGCCCACCTGTGTACATCTATTTCTACCTGAACTTTTGCTCATGATATAAAATATATTTCTAACTGTGAGTCACAGTCAAGCAACTTTGAAGGACACTAGATTAAAGTGTTCCAAAAATAAAAGCAAAATGGTGTATCCAAACTGTATTTGGAGTGCTAAGTTCTACTGTAAGAACAATTTCATCTTCCATCTTCTTGGAATCTTGGCTGTCCATTGGCACCACGATAAGAAGTGTCTAACAAAAACTGCTAATATTGTCTTAACTTTTCTATCATCTGACGTGTAACGTATATCACTATTCCTTTACTAACTGAAATAGAGAGGACATTATTTCTGAATTCTCCAGGCCTACGGGGAGCTGTAGTGGGCATTTTCCCCATTAGATGAAATGTGCTAAATCCTGGAGGATGAAGAACAGCTTCTGATTTTGAAAGCTCCTCACTGATAACTTTCTGTTGCGTTGTGCAGTGATGCTGTTACCCACTTAGTGGCAGAAAACAACTCGGGTAATGATGTTCTGGAGTGGCTGCAGGTACAGAACATCCAAGCCAGCTCCCGACTGGAACTCCTAGACGTCTCCTGGCTGATAGAGTGCATGGGAGCAGGGAAACCAGTGGAGATGACCAGAAAGCACCAGCTGGTTGTGAGTACCCGGCCCTTTGCCTGATGGTTAAGAAAATGGGTTCTGGAGTCAATGAACCTGGGCAAAACCCCAAATTCTCTGTTTCATGTGTTACCTTTGCTGAACTTCTGTTTCCTCTTTATCATACAACAATATGCCTGACTCATAAGACAAAAGAAGTTTAGAATTACATATGGTAAAGCAGGTACAGGACCTGATAGTTATAGGCAATGAATGGATGATTGCTATATTTATGAACATGCTTACACACAAATGTTTCAAAATATTTAAGCCCTGATGTTCTATCAACCATAAACATAGAGAGTTCCTATGTATTATGTATTATGTTCATTCAGGAAGAAAAAACATTTAAGTTCTTGGTTCCAAATCCTTGATGATTAGAGCTAGAATCTTAGGAAAGAGTATTTGGTTCATCATAAATTCAGATAAAATAAAAATTCATAGAGAAATAAAAATAAATTTAATTCACTGTTGGTTCTTTGTCATGGTTTTATTTTCTGATTTCACAAACAATGCACAGTAATGATATCAAATACAAATATTAGAAGTGTATATAGCATGAAATTTGAGTCTCTGGTAATTTTATTCTTCCTCCAGAGACAACCACCATCAAACAGTCTCCAATTATTTTCTCTCTATATACGCACTATTATTACCATTGTTCTTTAAAATAGATGAGTGTGCTCTTGTCTAGGTAAGAAGAGGCAGTCCAGCTAGCCCCAACCCAGATGCCCAGAAGACTCCATCACGCTCTGTGCAGAGGATCTCTGAGTACGCGTGTCAGAGGAGAACCACATTAAACAACTGCAACTACGCATTCACGGTAACAAGGCTTTGCTTCAGCACCTGGAGCAGAGGAAGGGTGTGCAAGTGTTTTCTCTGCATCTATAAACTAAATCATGATTTTTCTGGAAATCTGGAAAAGATTTCTCCTTTCTGACAAGAATAGGTCTTTTTCTTCCATGGAAATGAAAGAATACATTTGAGCTGTATTCTTTAGGGTCTTGATTACTGAAAGTTGTCAATGGATACATACTTATCAAAGGCAAATATTCTTAAAAATCAAATTTTGTAATTACTCCAAAACATAGTTAGAGTAAATTACATGGAAATATCAATAACGTATCACCAGCCTTTGCAGGAAGCCAAAAGATGAAGAGTCTGCGGATGTACATTTTTACCTGACATTAGCTAACCTGGGCAAGTCAGTTCCTCTCTCCTAGCCTCAGTTACCTCATCTGTGCAATAAGAAATGAGCCTGATTATCTCTAAAGCCTTATCCAGCCCCCAAATTTTTCAGATGAGCTGAACAAACCATAAATGCTATACTAGCAGTCAATGCTATGCAAACCATAAGTGCTATGTTCTAACCTAGATAAAAAATGCAGTAGTGTATCAAACTTCTCACTTCTAGACTTCCAGGCCCATACCTGTGAGGAAGACCAGGAATCTGAAGCTTTTGGGCTCCTGAGCATGGTGTCCCAAAGTTGCAGCTGCTAGCTCTTCTGGCAGCAGTGTAAACATGCCCCACCTTAAATAACCCAAGCTCTAAGGTGGTGTGACCCAGGAGCATATCCACTCATTCAATTTAAGTGCTGGTCATACTGAAAGAGACAAGGATATCTAGTGATAACAGCAGAGCCCTAACCACAGGTCAGTGAGGCACACAGCAGCGGGAGAGGTTATGCCAAGTGTGACTAGTGGGATATGGTGAGCAAAGGTGTCTTTTTTGGCTAATTATTCTGGAATATCTAACAGCACAGAACTCAGTTTCCTTAGAATGCATTTGGTGCCTGTTGTTTCAGTGCAGCTCCCTTGATCTCACACGGGAAGGTACAGGGGAACAGGAGGCTCAATCTTGACCTTCAAGGAAACTGTCCGAAATGTAAAAGAATACAAGAGGCATTTTTGAATGACACTATTTCAAGGACTTTTGTCTATCTGGTTTGATTCTGCAGAATGCCTTTGAGATACTGGCTGAAAATTGTGAGTTTAAAGAGAATGAAGACTCTTATGTGACATATATTAGAGCAGCCTCCGTACTGAAATCTCTGCCATTCACCATCATCAGTATGAAGGACACAGAGGGCATTCCCTGCCTGGGAGACAGGGTGAAGTGTATTATAGAGGTAAGGCGGAATGGGGAGGAGGAGGGAGCTAATAACACATCTTCCTGTCAGCTGTGTAGATATGGTATTCACAACTTATTCTCTCTGTCTGTATCTCCCAGTCTCCACATCTACACAGTATCTCTCTCTGTGTCTCTCCCACTCTCCCCCCATCTACCTGAGATATGTATAATCCATACCCTAGCATTACCACACCTAAAGCTGCATGCTGCATGAGGCCACCTAGTGGAACTAGAAGAGCTCTCCCGTCTCTCCCATACCGCTTCTGCCTAAAGAGAAAGAAAGGCTCAAGTGGCCTGAGAACTCTGCAGCAGGGGAAAGGCTGATTTCCAAAACAGGTTTTAGGGAAGAGCACAGTTCTGCTCGGGGTTTATCCCCTCCAGAAGAGTGTTGGGTGTGACATTAAATGACATTGATTTTGCATTTCTGTGTGTTCCAGAAAGATAGCTAAAGTGATTTTATGTACCTTAATTATGGTTAAGACTCCCCAGCAAGACAAGTTGGTAATCTGATAGTAATCTTAGTATTCAAGGCCAAGGTACATTATTCAAGGGAAATTCTATCTGGTAAACATCCTAAGGACCTAATGTAGAGTAACTTTTTAGAAGATCTCAAGATAACTTGCTCAGTGGAAATGTTCTCTTATTTCAAACAGAGAACAATCATTGAAAAGAAAATTATCAGAACTATTTGGGCACACATTTGCCAGTGAATATTTTTTGTATGGGGGTTCTGTAGATTTGTGCCCTAATCATTCTGCATTCTTGCCCCTGAAGATTATAAAGGGGTCATTAATCATATGATGACCTAGGACTTTAAATTATAGGGAAATTCTTATTTTCTCTAAATTAGGTAGGAAAACATTCTGCAGGCAATGGATATGCAATTCATAAGAAATCAAACTACTAGATCTATAAATTTGATAGTCTCAGGTTAGAATTCTCCAATGTCACTAATTTGAAATATTTTTCAACCACCTACATAGGAAATTATTGAAGATGGAGAAAGTTCTGAAGTTAATGCTGTGTTAAATGATGAACGTTATAAGTCCTTCAAAGTAAGTAATTTTACCTGTATTCATTGAAACTTTTTTCAGTTAATCTTATTACTTATTCTGTATGGATATATATGTATATATATATAGCCACAAAATGTCACATACTAAGAAGCTTAGACAATAGAAATCCCCTTTTTTTCAGTTGTGGAAGTTTAAAGTTCTTGATAGAGGTACCCACATGCTTTAGTACTGTTGCGGACTCTTTTTCTGGCTTGCAGATGATTACTTCATTGCTGTGTCCTCACATGGCAGAGAGAAAGGAGGAGAGTAAATTCACGGGTGCCTCTTCTCAGAAGAGCCTGAAGCCCATCATGAAGGCTCCACATTTGTGACTTCATGCAAACATACCAACCTCCCAAATGCTTATCACACAAGGGAGTAGGACCAAACTGTGTCCTTTGCAGAGTTGTAGGAAAAAGATTCCAAAATATTTATGAGTGTTCCCAGTTTGTTGCCATATTGTGATAATGTCTCAGTCACCTTTCTCATCACAGAGACACAATGCCCAAAACCCACAACTTCAAGGAGGAGACGTTTATTTTTGGTTCACAGTTTTCAGAGGATTCAGAGTATTATCAGCAGGCATCAAGGTAGAAATGGCATCGCAGAGGGGCACAGTGGATGTAAAGCTGCTCACATCATGGCATCCTGGAAACAGAGAAAGACAAAGGAATAGTGAGGGAAATACACCCTTCAAGATCTTTATGACTTTTTTTCTGAGCAGGCCCCACCTAACAGCACACTGAGCTGCTATACTCATTAGTGTAGGAGTCCACTGATAAGTATTGTATCCCTGTGACCCATTCACTTCCCAAAACCCTGGCTCTGAGCACATGAAAGTTGTGAGGGGCGTTCATATCTAAACTATAACAATCTGTATCTGGTCCCCAAAAGATTCATATGCATCTCTTTATGCAAAATGCATTAATCCATCTCTAAATTTTAAACAAATTTCAGCATTGCTGAAAAATCTAAGTTCTCTGAGACTCAAAGCAAACTCTTATCTGTAAACCCCCACAGAAATCAGAAGGAAAGTTAAACACTTTGAGTGTTCCATCAGGGTAAATGAAAGGAACCAAAGAGACTGAAACCTACAGAGGAAAATATTAAATCCTGTACTTTATGTCCAGCAACCAGGGCAGGTTGGGATGCAACGTAACCACCACAGGGGATTGTTAGCTCTATTCCTGCACACTGTGGGTTTTAGTTCTCATGGCCTCTCTCTTGGGTTAGCTCTGATCACTGTCTGGATTTTTCTTTTCCTAGACATTTCATGTTATTGGTGTCTCCATTTCCTGGTATCTTCACTGCACCTTTAGCTTCAGTCTCACAACTTCTCACACTTTCCTCTTAGGAGCACACTGCCTGGTCTTTCAGAACTTCTTCTGAAATCTGGGTAGAAGCCTTCCTGACAATTCTTACATTCTGCACCAAGGAATGCTGCTAGCCTGAATAACAGCCAGGTCTCCATTAATAATGTCTGCAGAGCCTCGATAGCTTAGTGCTATGAATAAAACCCCAAAAAACCAATTCCCTAGACAGCTGTTCTCCAGCTGGGTACTCTGGGGCTCTCTTTTTACATTTTTCCTCTTCTGAGCTTGGGATGGGTAGGGTATTGCTGAATCCTGAGATGCCCTCAAGTCACCTTTCTATTGTGCTGATGTATAAAGTACTTGGTTTCTTTGAAATGCTAATATTTTTAACAAACATGCTCACCTTTGTCCCATCTTTGTAGGAGCTTCTTTCCTGGCAAAACTCTAAATTTTTCAAATGGGGGTATTGCTCCCAGTGCTTATTGTAAACTCTGTCAGTCTAAACAGTGCTCATTGTAAACCATGCCACAGTCTAAACATAGGAGAGTCAAAAATTTCCTCTATCAGATTGATTAGTCTGCCATCCTTAATCTTAGTATCCCACAAAGTCTCAGAACATGAACAAAATGTACACAAATTCTCTACAGAGCTAACATGTGTGGACGCTTGTCTGGAGCCTTGTACCCATCTATACTCCCAATCCTGATCTTCCCAAGTTGCATTTCTATCAGTATTTTTTCTTCTGGATTCCAACTAGAATCTATCATTAAGTTTATCTTACTTTGCTTATAGCATTCTGTGGCTTCTCTAACCAGGATCTCCGAACATTTCCGAACTCCTCCACAAAGCCAGTTCTAAATAACATGCTCAGGTATAGTCACAACAATTACCCCTTCCTGGTCCCAAAATCTGCCTTAGTCACTTTTCTTGTCACTGAGACACAATATCCAATCCCTACAACTTAAAGGAAGAGAGATTTATTTTGGCTAATGGTTTTTGGAGGATTCAATCCATCATCAGCTGGCTTCAAAGCAAGAATAGTACAGCACAGGATAGTGGTGGATGAAAAGTTGCTCACGTCATAGTGTCCAGGAAACAGGAGAGAAGGGAGGAGTCAGGAAGGTAGTTAAACACTTCCAGGTCATGACCTCAGTGACTCTTCTGACCAGGCCCTACCTCCTGGTAGCACACTCAGCTGCTGAACTCATTAATGGATGAATGTACTGAAACACAGCAGATCTATACTCTAATCACCTTCTAAAAGCCCTACTTCTGACCATACAAGAGTTCTAGGGGACATTCTAGACCTAAACTGTAACAGATGCTATGCAAACTATTTTAGTTTCCTGTCACTCAAGGCTACAAGTATCATGAGGAACATAAGGACCATGCAGACAGAATAAACCTCCTCTTTTAAGGGCAATCCAGGAAACTCCTCACTGCATCTTTATTTACTAAGAATCAGGATTTTTCATCTCTTGCCTTTCCTACCTTAGCGTTGCCAGTAAAAGTCACCACAGCCAGTCTTTCCAGTTCAGAAGTGAGGCACAGAACTAAAACTGTGGGTGGAAGCAGGAACATAGCCCTACAGTCTCAATTGTCCAGGGTGTAAGTCTGGGCTCTGCCGCTTACCATCTGGGTGGGACAAGAGAATTTATATAACCTTCCAGATCTGAGGGGAAATAGGCAGATCAGGATGTACATGAGCAAAGAGGTGAGCCATATATGACGGCTTCTCACTTATTGACAACACAGGCAAGCTGTCAATTAAGTGAGGTCAGATCTGCCTCCCACATCTGTTTCACTTTTTAAAAAATCATAAATTGCAAAAGGACTCACCTGAAAAAAAATGAATCCAAAAAATTACTAGCCCCTACTTATTTATCCTAGAGAAAATTGAGCATTGTTTTATTTGTATTTTTTCTTTGTTGCCTAAGATCTTGCAGTATACTACTTCATTGTCATAGTGATTATTTTAGAAAGTAATGGCATAACTTTCCTTCCTCTTTTTAGCTCTTCACTTCTGTTTTTGGAGTAGGGTTGAAGACATCTGAGAAGTGGTTTCGGATGGGGTTCAGATCTCTGAATAAAATAAAGTCAGACAAAAGCCTGAAATTTACACGAATGCAGAAAGCAGGTAATGGTCTCTCACAAAAATGGTGGTTGCTCTGCGTTGCTCTCATCAGGTTTGGTAGAGATTAAAAACCGACTTTTCTTTGATCCCAATCTTGGTGCTCTAAGACACTTTGGGGCCATCTATTGATGCTTTTGTCCAATCTTGGTTCCAGAACTTTCCAGCTGCATGATCTTAAGTATGTTAGTTAAAACTTTTGAGCTTAGTTACTTCATTGGTAAAACAGTGATAGCATTGATACTTAACTGGGAAATAAACCAGAAAATGCAGAGCCCTGAGCCCTGTGTTTGACACAGAGCAAAGATACTCTTCTTGGTGACTGCTTTGATTTCTTTATCCAGATATTAAAGTAAGAAACATGTTGGCTTGTTCCTATGAACTCTTCTAAACATTTGGTCCTGGCTAACTCCCTAGGTAAGAGATGAGAGTAAGGACTGAAGGACAAAAGAATAAGCTGACATGAAAGTCTGGGAATACGTGAAGAAACTCTAGTTGTTGTCTGACTAATTCATAACTGTGAATAAGCTTTTGAAATTAAAACAGTAGGACAATAGAAGGAAAATGGTAAAAATCCAGATATGGGCTTGCTGTACCTTACCAGAGCTCTTTGGCCTGCGAAGAGAAGGCAATATAGAAACTAGAGTTTCTATCACCATCTGAAAACCTGAAGGGACTTCCTAGGGATCCAGGTGGCTTGGTTACTACCACTTATGGAGGCTCTTTTCAGTTAACTTTTCAAAACTAAAATATTTTCAATATAGATCCAAATAAATGTGTGAGCTTTTTAAAAAAGTAAAACAAAACAAAACAAAAAAAAGATAAAAATGACACAGAATTCCAAAAAATAGTGGGAAAGTAGCACTAGTTAATATATTGCATATTGTTATCTCAGAAGTAGTTGCTCAGGTTACAAGAAGATTCAGGCATAAAAAATATCGTCAAACAACCAAACAATGAAAGCACAAACTGTTCTCTTTGATGAACTGAGATTAGTAGCATAATATGAGCTTTAAATGTTTACTTTAACATGCAATAGGAATAAATATATACTTGTGCTTTGAAAAGACCAACAGCCATAGCCTCCAGCGTATGGATTCTGAAAAGAATGATGAAGCTATCAAAACTTTTAATGATAAGAGAGTAAGGGAATCTCCTACCAGAAGGTACCAGGGAAGAATAAGTAAGCAGCTATCTCCTGTAAGTAATGGCAACAGAAAAACAACGAAACTATAAGCAATGGTAGAGGAAGAAACAAAATCTTGGTGGGCCTACCAGTGATACTGATCCCTACTCATCTTTTGTAAATTTGATAGTTTCTAATTTCTGGCTGTGTGTGTGCGTGTGTGTGTGTGTCTGTGTGTCTGTGGGTGTTCACGCACGTGTTGCTAGAGATCAAACAACTTGGGGTCTTGCCCATGCCCAGGGCCATACCATTGAGTTACTTCTCCAACCCTAAATTTGCTAAATTCTGAAAGATTGCTAGTAAGCTTTACAAAGGGATCTAAGGAAAATACATTATTAATATTATGGGCTTCAGAAAGTACATGTTTAATAAGAATGATCATTGTACCAGCTCTAGAAATGCTACTAAAAAGGAAGTTAAGTATTAAACATAAATAGCCAGTAAATGGTTTGTAATGATACTAAGAACTCTCAACACTTAGAAACTGAGGGGCAACACAGTGTATTGTTTCCCTCAGATGAAATACTTAACAAATGACACCAAATATTCTCCGGATCTAAAGAGTTCCCAATTCCCTAGCTCTGTAAAATGGATTTTTTCCTCTTCCTACTAGATTCTTCCAACCCAATGAATGAAGTAGCTATTCATTTAATCATTCAGTGAATCCAACAGTTTGATAAGTCAGATCTGTGTAGAAATAAAGGAATGCACTCTCTTCATACTTAACAACAATAACAAAAATACTGGTTAGAGTACAATGAACGGACTTGTCAATAGGAATAGCTTAAAATACTGTAAAGGGTAAGCTAATTGAACATGATGAAAACATGATTCGTGGGTTAGACAAAAAAGCTCTACTTATAATTAAGTAAATTACTTATAATTACCCTTAATTGCAATTCCCTGGGGCTTGAGCATTCACTTTCCATATTTGTCTCAAAAAGTCAATTTCTGAAATATAGCACCACAGATTTTTTTCGTGGTGCTGGGAATCGAACTCAGGACCTTGTGCTTTCCAGGCAGGCACTGTGCTGCTTAGATGTATCCCTAGTCCTCAAAAAACCTTCAGGCTTGCAGCACATATTTAACATTATGCGGTGTGGGAGGCTTCTTGTGATGAATCAACTGGCCTGTCATACCAGAAAGGAAAGCCAATTAAACTGATTTCATGGATGTCAATAAATTGTCACTGTACCTCCATGTTCATTTCTGGTATCTGTACATTCTGAAGAACTTTGTTTTCTTGGTACCGGGGATCAAACGCACAACCTCACCCTTGCCAGGCAGGTGCACCTATGCCACTGAGCTAAACCCCAGGCCCATATCTTCGCATTCTGAAAGAAATCATTGCTAATTATAATTTTTGGTTCATGTACAATGAGCATAGGAGTTTTATGGTCATCAACTGAGTTACATTTTGAATACCATTCATGTGGCAATTTCTTGAAATGTCTTTCTTTTCTATGAAAACCTGATAGAACATTGCTTTTCACATTGAACTCCTCATTCTCACAAAAAAGGCCATGTTACAATAAAAAAGTGACTTTTTAAAATAAAATAAGAAAAAATATCACCATTGAAAGAAAGTAGTTCCACGAGCACAGTGGCTTAGGATTGGACAGTGTTTCCAGGTATCTGAGGATGAGTATCATCTTTCGGTCCTGCCAGCTCACTTCTGCAACTGCCCCACTTAGATATAACAAGGGAAGTTTGCATGCGAGAACCAAATGGTCTCCATTTTGCCTCCTCACAATCCTGAGGTCAGGAACAGTAAGCAACAGATTTGCTTTCTGCCCTTCTGAGGGTCAGTGGAGGGTAAAACTCCAAGAAAGTAGACTTAAACTGGAAGAATCACTCAGTTTACAGTTAGGCTCTTCATTAGGAAATAATATTGGTACAGTCCGGATTTCTGAGGGATGAAAAATATTCTCTTTTCTAAAATGGACATCAGAAGCCTCTCAGTCAGAAATGAAAGAGAAATTTACTGTGAGAATTTCTCACGAAAACGGCCTGGTACTGTGAGAAATTCACAACCAAGTGAACTTCTTGACTTGGTCTGTCTCGGTGAAAACAGAGCTTAGTTGGGGCCTGTGGCCAGGCAGCTTCTTTGGAGGCACAATTCACTCTCACTGAGGCTGCTGACTTTGAACATGACTCACTCTCTCCATGCATTTGTCAAATGGCCCCTAGGATTCCTGTACTACGAAGACCTTGTGAGCTGTGTGACCCGGGCAGAAGCAGAGGCAGTCAGCACGCTGGTTAAAGAGGCCGTCTGGGCATTTCTTCCAGGGGCCTTCATTTCCATGACAGGAGGCTTCCGCAGGTAAGTACCTGCGTGTCCACTGTCACCTTCCGTGGCTCTTCAACACATTCTGGCTTCTGAAATAGCAGGAAAGGCTTTCTGCAGTCTAGTGCCAGCCTCTCCCTGCAGCTTTGTCTCCTGCGCCCCACATTTCATTTCAGCAGCCCCAAGTATCTTGTTAGTCCCTCCACATATGTGGTTGTTTCTTCCCACTGTGACTTCGCTCAAGTGGAATGTTTTCCTTGGATGGGTACTCTTCAAAATGTCCCTCGGTTAGGGACCTCTCTTGGACACATGCCTTACACTTGTTACACCATTAAGCTATTGCAGCTTAGTCCTACTAATGCCTGACACAAAATAGGTGCTCAGGAAATCTTGGCTGACTCACTGAATGAGTTAATAGATGAATTTCTCACAGAGGCATGTGCAGTTGTTGAGGTGTCCGTCTCAGAAAGAGATCCCTTCCCTCCCACACTCCCCGCAACCACGCCCTCTGATCCTCTTTTCTAGTAGTTCTCAGCCATTGTGAGAAGCCAGCACGAGACAAAACAGAAAGTAGACTGAATCTAAGAAAATGCCTCAATTTATGATATAATTCTAATAGTGCTTGCTTGTACTACAAGAATACTGTTCTTGGTTGTTCTCCCCCCCCCCACATTCACCTTGTCCCTGTGTGTGTGTGTGTGTGTGTGTGTGTGTGTGTGTGTGTGTATGCTGTTGTAAACAACTATAGAAAATAACTTTGTTATTTTTTGGCCCATACATAATCATATACATCCTATATATGGATTTTTTTCTCTGTCATAAATGTATTCTGTAAAGCATGGAGCCATGCAACCAAAAGTAATTCATTTTTAAGAATGTCATGGATGTCTTGTGCTATAAAATTAAGCATCTATTAAGCATAAATCATAGAAATAAAGATTTTTTAAATCTAAGGATTAAATCTAACTTATTCTCATGCTATGCCATTTTTTAAATTAGGGGTAAGGAGATTGGCCATGATGTAGATTTTTTAATTACCAGCCCAGAAATAACAGAGGATGAAGAACAACAAGTTTTACATAAAGTGATAAACTTATGGGAAAATAAGGTAAGAGAAAGATCAAAGACTGCATGCATACACATTTTATTAGCACTGTTGGATTTTGTACATTATTTTCTTCATAATTGTGTATTGACCATCAAATCGATTTCTGATTATTTATAACACCGTATGACTCAAGGTAAGACTCACCTAGAGTGCATGTTATAAATATGTATTTTGTTTATTTATATTTGCTCTATTATCTAATGGACCGAGACTAGTTACGCACTTGTGTTTGACATATAGTGGCAACAAAGCACCCTAACAAGGGGCCAGGGATTTAGCTCAGAGGCTCAAGCACTTGCTTGGTAAACACAAGGTTGTGAGTTCAATCTCTGGTATCAAAACAATAAATAAATAAATAAATAGCACCCTAACAAAATAAAGATCATATACTGAAAAGTCCTGAAAAGTATAGAGAGAATTATAAGCTTAAAATTGAGCAAGATTGTTCCAACTGGGGTAAAAGAAGGTCAGGGGCTGTTGTTGCTGCCTTGAATTCTGTAATGAGCCAGAAAGACCAAAGGACCCTATCCTGGCTGTCCACGTGGACTGAGTCAGTGTTTTTCCGGTGCAGCTTCAGCCTTCCTTGGCATTGCATCTGTGGGGTGTGCACCGAGCTCACTGACACACCAGAGAAAGGACATCTCAGAGTGAGAATAGGAGCTAGTGATACCCAACCCCAGAGCTGTGGGTCCTGGAAGTGAAAACCCAACTTTGGAGCCAATTTACCTGTGAGGCCATCTCAAGCCTGAAAGGAGTCTTATTTGCAGACAAAGGAGCATAGCCCTGGCCCCTTCCTGGTGGAGGACAGCTGCTTCCTGACCTGTGGGCCATTTCCAGGGAGGACCTATTGAGTTTGGCTGAGGGAAACTACCTCTTCCTGCTGACACTACACAAGACTGGAGCAGGGTGGGAGATGGCACCAGGGAGCTCTCTTTCCTTTGGTAATTTCTCCGTTTCAAGATAGTCACATTGCTGTTTCCAAGCAGAGGTGAATGTTTTAAATAGAGGCACTACAGTAGGGCCTCACATTAAACATGCTTGATCTGTGGCTTTAAAAGAACAACCCTGCCATTCACTGGCTGACCAATCTGGGATGGTTCCTTCTCCTTTCACACTCCACTTTCCTTCCTATAAATCTACTAAGAGCAGATTAAATGAGAGAATGTGAAAAAGTATGCAGTGCGCTGCCTGACAAATGCAAACACTTGACTAGTGGTGGTTCTTTTCATCATCTCTCATGTACAGTTGTTTTTGAATGCCATCCAAGAGGCAGCACGGGGCCAGGTGAGGGGACCCACCAGGGTCCCCTCTCCTTCACTCGATATTCCACCTAAACAGAAAGTACGGGCAGCCCGACTGCACTCTTTTTTGGGTTTTTTTTTTTTTTTTTTTGGTCTTTTTTTTTCCTTTTTATCGGTACCGGGGATTGAACTCACGACTGCCTGCTTGCAAGGCAGGCACTTACACCGCTGAGCTAAATCCCCAGCCCCTTGCACTCTTGCTACTTCCCAGCACATTGCTTGTGAAAGCTGCACATGAGTGTTTCGTGTTTAACTTCCTCCTCTACCTCACCCTGATCCTCTTCCATTCTTACTCCAAATTGTACTTCCCAGATGCTAAAGACTACAGTCTGTGCAGGCACACATGCTTAAACTCACACAGTGCGCTCACGAAACACTTAAAACACATACAGAGCATGGCGAAAAGCCAATGAGAATCCATGCCACTCGAAATGTTGCCCTTGGAGAAAGTCCTTTGGGTGCAGGTGGAAGAAAGGGAGGTAAAGAGCTTGGAAATATTGATGTTTGGGAGACAGTTTTGCCATCCCCAAGACTCTGTTTGCTTGAATTGTAACAGAGGCCCCTGGTAGTTCACTCCAGAAAAAGGAAGCTAAACAATTCTAGTTTGGATCCACACCTAGGGAGTGAGACCTTGGGTGAGGGCGCCCAGGTAGTTCCATCGCAGTTCAAAAAATGCTGAAGCACAAACATGTTGACAATCATTGGAGAGCAAATAAGTTGGCCTTCCAGGAATACCCTCAGGTTCAGTATCCCTGGATTCAACCAACCTGAAATGGGAAATAGAAAGGAAAAAATTGTGTCTATGCCGAGAACTTCTCTTTCTCATCATTACTCCCCAAACAATGCTGGTTGTGTTGTTTATTATTTTTATTATAATTGTTATTTGCTTATTATTATTATCTTCATAGTACTTGTATTAGGCATGGTGAGTAACCTAGAGCTGATTCAAAATTCAGGTTATATGCAAATGTTACACAATTTTGTTTCAAGAACTTGAGTATCCGCAGATTTTGGTATCAGTAAGGGACTTGGAATCAGTGTATTCAGTCAGGATGACTGTATTCACTATGAGGAACTGATTTGACTGAGTAGGGGTTGCTGGTGCTTCTGTGACAGAGCTGGAAGGAATTAAGAGCAAAGGGTGTGAAGGGGTCCTGCCTAGAGGGCCCCAGTCTCTTTGCAATCCTTCCGGTTCCTGCTTGGTTAACTTGGTGTAGCCCAGAGCGTCCTTATGTGAGAGGTAAAACTTAGTGTGTCTCACCGTCTGTCCCTCTCTCCTGTGCCTTGAAAGCTGCTCTATCCCCTGGTGATGGAGGGAGAAAGGAGAGAAAACCCCTCCTTTTGTACTCAGGAGTCTCCAGTTAGGGCAGAAGATGAAAAAGGAGGAAGAAGGGGAGAAGAAACACCGAGGAGGAAAAAGAACATGCGATGAATATCAGTCTACTCATGAGCATTGATGGAGAAGCCAGGCCTGGTCTTAGAAAGGAGTTTTCAAAGGAGAGAAGTCACATAAGAAAATGGAGGACAAGGAGACAAACTATTGAAAATAGAGACGCTCACCAAAAAGCCCAGGCTAAAGACTAGAGCCCCACCTCAGGGGCTGTGTGCATATTGACAACTATGCCCTGCTGCAGACAGGAGCATCTCCTTCAAGGTGATTGCCCCCGCCACCTTGCAGGGTTCTAGACAAACAACCATGGATGACCCATCTGTCTATTACTAGGCAAATGTCTCTGCCATGTCTCTGTAACACATACCACAATTCACTGTTAGAAAGTAGGCTTTGAGTATGTTTCTTAAAAGGGAAGGTGGTTTTATTATTAATTTGGCTGTAAGACTTGTCACTATTTTGTTTGAAAAGGAAAAAAAATGCAAGTTAGGTATACTTCTAATTTCTCTTAGTTCATTGAAAGCAAAGTTTTGTGCTAATATCATTTGGAAAACTTTTATGCCTATAAAAAGTATGCCTATTTGTAATCTGAGTAACTACTTTGAAGGTAACAATACACAATGTATTAACTATTGTTATTTTCCTATTACTTTGTTATGAAATTTTGTTTGATTTTTTCCATAAAATTTAAAAAACAGCCAGGGATTTAGCTCAGTGGCACAAGTGCCTTCCTGGCAAATGCAAGGTCGTGAGTTCAATCCCCAGTATCAAAAAGATATACAATTTTTTAAAAACAAATAATGAATACATTTACTAGCTGAAATTTACATGACAGGTACCTGTACAATTAACTGATTGTGTCAACTTGAGTAAGAAACACCCACCTGAACTGTATCACTCTGGTCCAGGGCATGGCTGAAGGAATTTACGGAGATGGAAGACCTAGCCTCGGTGTGAGTGGCACCAGCCAATAAGCTTGTAGCCCGAATGGAAGAAAACAGAAACATAGAAGAAAGGCTCCTTTCTGTTTTTTCAGAGCAGCTCCGGTCTTCACTTCCCCCTGGGATGTCATGCCCTAGCTTCCAGCACAGACTCTTCAGCCTCTTCATATGAACTCACATGTAACACTGCACTAAGCTCCAGCCTTCCACTGGACCGTTCAGGTCTACACACACAGGCACCCTTTCCCACTCTTCTAGGCCTGACTCTGGGGGATCCTCCTTACCAGGGATGCTTCCTGTTGTCTTTTCTGTTTCTTTTTAGGGACTGCTTTTATACAGCGACCTCGTGGAATCAACATTTGAAAAGCTCAAGTTGCCTAGCAGGAAGGTGGATGCTTTAGATCATTTTCAAAAATGCTTTCTGATTTTAAAATTGCATCATCAGAGAGAGGACAATGAGAAGTCTTCCCAGCAGGAGGAAAAGACCTGGAAAGCCATTCGTGTAGACTTAGTCATGTGCCCCTATGAGCGCCGCGCCTTCGCCCTGCTGGGGTGGACTGGCTCCCGGGTAAGCATGGGCTGGTGGAATGTGTTAGTTTTCCAAAACATGGAGGCCAGGTCTCCCTGGGCCTGGGAGAGATGATGCCAATAGAGCAGAGTGCCAAAAATGGGCTGTGCCCAGAAACCTCTTAATCAGAGCACTCTACCCACACACAAGTGAGTCAGATTAATTTAGAACAGTTATTCCTTGTTCCCAGGCCAGCTGCTGTAGCCTTACAGGTTGACTGACAAATTCTCTACCCCACACTTGACCTATTGAATCGGAAACTGGGAGTGGAGGCTGGCAGTCTGTCTTTGTCTTTGTGTTTCTGAGGTAACATAAATGTGAAAAACACTGAAGCAGAGAAATCAGTAGGTGGTAGAGTCAAGCTCTCTCCTGACCTGAGGATGGGCTCCTGCACCAGGTGGCTGATCTTGGACAAGTTCCCTGTGTCCTCTGAGACTTGGTCTTCCCATCTGAAAATGAAGGCAAGGGCCTTTGCTGCCTTCCTAAGCAGCAGCAGTTTGGACAGATGATGCTCACAAAGCCTCAGCAGCACACCAGGCCCTATCAACCCTGCACAACAGTAATTCCCAGGTCCTGTCACAGCACAGGGGTCTGTGCCTTTAAAAAGATTGTTTCTCTACTTTACCTCCTGATTTTTTTATTAGTAAATTTTTGTGATACTTAACAATTATATTAGTTTGAGGGAATTTACATACTCAGTATATGTTGTACCTTGATCAGTTTGTTCCATTTACACACCCTTTACCTTCTCCCCTTCCCTAAATTCCCTTCTCAGTCTCCAAAAAGTCTATTTCACTATGTTTTCACTATCATTTCTGTTTTATTTAGCTATGTAAATTGTTTATGCCTTGAGTTTCTCATATAGGAAAAACCATGCAATATTTAATTTCTGATTTATTTTGCTTAACATTATGTTCCAAAGATCCATTCTTTTTCCTACAAATGATTCAATTTTTTTATGGCTGAGTAATGCTTTCTCTATACAAATCACTTTCTTTATCCATTTGTCGGTGGGCATTATGAAGGCTGATTCCATAATTTAGCAATTGCGAATTGTGATGCTATAAATATAGGTATGAATATATTATTGCAATTAGTTTATCTCTAACTGTAACAGTCTTCTGGTGGCATTTTTTTGATCTTTGAAAGAGATTAAGTCTTCTACAAATGAGGATCTTGTCTTCCTCTCCTAGGCATCTTTTTTTTTTTTTTTTCCTGATTGCTCTGGCTAAGGTTTTGAGTATTATATTGCTCAGAAGTGGTGATTTTCCTGGTTTTAAAGAGAGTGATTTCAGTTTTTCTCCATTCAGTATGATGTTGGCAGTAATTAAATGGCTTGTATCAGTTTGAGGTAAGTCCTTCCATACCTATTTTCATTAGGGATTTTATTATGAAAGAATGTTGAATTTTTCCAAAGCTTTTTGTGCATCGATTGAGAGGATTGTACGATTTTAATCTTTACTTCTATTTTTGTAGTGTATTATATTTGTTGATTTATATATGTTGAGCTATCCTTTACACTCTGGATGAAGCCAACTTGGTTGTCATGAAAATGATTTGCTTCACTTTGTTTGCAAGTATCTTGTTGAGATTGTTTGCATTTATGTTCATTGAAGATATTGGCCTATAGTTTTAATTTTATTTTGTTGTTGTGTCTTTTTCCAGTTTTGATATCAAGGAAATACTGGCTTTAAGAAATGGCTCTGGCAGTATTCCTTTGATTTTAATTTCATGAAAGAATTGAAGAGTACTAACAATTAATTCTTCTCTGAAGTTTTAGTAAAATTCAGTGATGAATCCATTGGTTCCTGAACTGTATTTAGTCGGTAGAATTTTTAGTACTTCTTCAATTTCAATGCCCATTATTGATCTTTTCAGAGATTTCTATCTTCCTGGTTCAAATTTTGTAAGTCATTCATGTCTAGGAGTTTATCTATTTCTTCTAGTATCCAACTTATGGAATATGACTTTGAAATAGTTTCTTACTATCCTCTGAATTTCAGTGGTATCCATTGTGAACTCACCTACTTCATTTCTAATTGCATTGATATGTGGATTCTCTTTCCTTCATTTGGTATGTTTTGTATTTTTTAGGTGCAACTTCATTAATCTTCACTCTGATCTTTCTTTCTTTCTTTTTTTTTTTTTGTACTGAAGATTGAACTTAGGACCTTGCACTTGGCCAAGCAGGCACTTGTACTGCTGAGCTAAAGCCCCAGCCCTATCTTTATTATTTTATTTCATCTTACAAGTTTTAGTTTTGGATTGCTCTTTTTTTATAGGACCTTATAACGCATCATTAGTTTATTTACTTTAGATTGCTGTATTTTTCGAACACAGGCATTCGTAGCTTTAAGTTTCCTTTTTTAGAGCAACATTTATTGTGACCCATGGATTTTGGAATATTATACCAACACTGTTGAATTCTAGGAACTTTTTCATTTTTTCTCTGATTTCTTCTATGAATTGCTGATTATTCCAGAGTGTGATATTTAATCTCCATTTGTTGCCTAGTTTCTATGGCTTCTTTTCCTGCTAATTTCTTGCTTCATTACATTATGATTTAATAGGATACAAAAGATTATTTCAGTTATTTTATATGTATTTAGACATGCTTTGTATCCTAAAACATGGTCTATTTTTTTTTTTGAAGAGAGTTCTGTGTGCTGCTAAGAAAAAATGCTTATTCTATTGTTGTTGGGGAAAATACTTTATAGATATTCCCTAAGTGCATTTGCTTGATGGTGAGGTTCAACTCTGATATAATAAGTTCCTGACTTACAAACATTCAAGTTGCAGATTTTCACAGGTGTATGGTATAAGACTCACTTTATTGGCTTAGGAACAAATCCAACTTATGAACAAGTCTCCTAGAATAGAACTCATTTGTAAGTGAACACTTACTATATTTCTTTGCTGATTTTTTTCTGGGGGTTGGGGGGCTGGTCGACCTGTTATGTTTTTTAAGAGTAGGATATTGAAATCCCTCACTCTGATTATATTGATGATTTCTATCTGTTCTTTCATCTCTGGTAATTTTTGTTTTATAAAATTGAGTGAGCTGACATTCAGTGCATAATATATTTACAATTGTTATCTCTTCCCATTACATTTTTCTCTTTACCAATATGTAACAACTTTGCTTATCTTTTCTGATTAGTTTTGAGTTGAAGTCCATATTGTGTGAAGTTAGGATAGTTACTCCTGCTTGCTTTTGTGCTCTGGTTGCATAGAGTATCATTTTCCATCCTTTCAACTTCAGTCTATGTGTTTCTGTGGCTGAGGTGTGTTTCTTGTAAGAAATACATAGTGGCCTTTATTTATTACAATATGTCGGTCTATGTCTTCTGATTGGGGAGTTAAGACCATTTACACTGAGCATTATTACTGAAAGCCAATTACTGATTCATCTTACTATATTTTTTTTTCAGTGCTGATTCTTCTCTATATTTCTTGTGTTTCACTGCTATCTTAGATAAATGTGTCCATTCTTTCAGGCTCCTTAATGATATTTAAATCCCTGATTCTGTTTAGAATTCTCTTTAATATTTTCTGCAGTGCTAATTTGACACTCATGAATTTTGTCACGTTCTCTTTGTTATAGAGGGTTTTTATTTCTCTGTCAATTTTGAAGATAATTTTGTAAGATATAGAAATAAGAATTAGAACTGTTTTCCATTTATGGCTTGAAAATCTTGAAGCTCTCTTGACCTTTAATGTTTGTGTTGAGAAATCTGCTATTATTATGGTAATTTCCCCCCCTCGGGGCTTTTAGTATTCTCTCTTGTCCTAATTTCTTGGATTTTGACTTTGCTGTGTATCAAGAGGTTGATTTCTGATTTACCAATTTGGAACTCTAAATTCCTCATTTATCTGGGCATCCATTTCACTCTTTAGATGTGGAAAGTTTTTGGCAATGATTTCAGTAAATACATATTTATATCTTTAGTTTCCTTCTCCAGAACTTCCTTGACTCCAGTAATTCTTAGATTAGCTCTTTTAGAGTTATCTTTGAGCTTTTGAATCAGTTTCTTCTGATTTCTTGTTGTTAAAGTGTCACTGAATAAATGATTATTATGTCATTATTGTCATTAGGTCTTGATATTCTGCCTTCAGATTGGTTATGTCTACTGGTATGACTTACTTGTGTTTTTTAAAAACCTTTGTTTCTTTATTAAAATGGTCACTCATACCTTGTATTGTCTTCTTTATTTCAATTAGCTGGTTTTTCTGTCTTCTGTATAAGCTGGTTGAACATTTTTCTTAATCACATAGTTTATCTGCTTATTTATATTTTCTTTGAGCTCACTGAGCATCTTGTGCATTTGCTTATTTGTTTTTTATCTCTTCAAACATTTTTACCATTTGTTTTTAAGTTCTTTGCCTAAACATCCTCTACTTCAGTGTCTATGAGATCAACTTTTGAGAGTCAAGAGCTTTTAGAGGCATCTTTGGCCCGCATTTTCTCATGTTTCTAGTGTTTTTTGTGCTAAGCATTTAAATCAGTTAGGATATAAACTCAGTCTTTACTGTGGCGGTTTCTTTAGTATCTGTCTCCCTGTGATGTGACCTCAGCTTTTGTTATGTGCTGCTGTTCTCTTATCTACTCAGCATACTCTGTATTTGTTTCGGGCCTAATTACTATGTTGCAGGGAGAGAATAACTGCCTGTTATATCAGCCTCTACAGAATCAACCATTTGTCAGTACATAATTTAAAATCTGTTTTAAATCTTTTGTACTTTTCCCAGTGTCCCAGAAAGACAATGAAATAATGCTGCGGAAGCATAAGCTGGGATGTAGAGGGTAATGGAAGGAGAAAAGTTCAGAAAAAAGGAAGAAGTAAAAAGTAAAAAAAGAGTAAAGGAATGAAAGAAAAGCAATAAGAATTGAGTAATATTTTTATATCAGTATTGAAGGGAGGGAGCAGAGAGAGCTTTAGAGGTTATTTGCAGGTACCAGAAAAAAGGAAGGCGAGGAACGGAAATGTAGGTAGAGATAGAGGAGAGCTGTAGGAATGCTGTAATCAGTTGCTATGTGGTAGGAAGTTTATGCACAAATCCCTTACATACAATTTTTGGTGAGCTTTCACCTAATTGTCAATAAAAGATACCAAAGCCATAATTAATTCTTATCCTTATTTACATTTTGCATATACAGATACTTCACATATATATATCTGAAGAGAGGAAGAAAAAGAAAAAGAATCATTGTGATAATGAAAAAGAATTCATTGTGATAATGCTATTTGTGTTGTGCAAAAACAGGGGAGATAGAGAGATCTGCGAGGGTGTAAGAGAGAAAGTAAGCAAAAGTGGGGAGAAGTTCAAATGGAGCATGGTGTGGGGTACAGAGCATCTGTGTCCAATTTATGACCCAACAGGAAAACGACTGAGCTAACCCTATGCAACACCACTTAGTGTAACCAGGAACTATAGAGGTAAAAGCTTTAGCTCTTACTTATGCTTTTATTAGCACACTAACAACCCCTGAGCTCTTGCTACAAGTACTACTTGATGTAAGACAGAAAGAAAAAAGAGGAATAAAAATACATTGTGTTGATAGTGTTTGTGTAATGCAAAAGAAGGGGAGAAGGAGGGTGATTTGAGAGTGTGAGAGAGGAAGTAAGTAAAAACCAAAGGTGAGAGGAGTTTAAATGGAATGTTGTGGAAGGCATAGGAGGACCAGGACCAATTTGTGATGAAACCAAACATTAACCTTATTGAAACAACGCTTGGCATGGGAAACCCAGCATGACTTGCTAAGAGCAATAGCTTAGATCCCTGCACTCTTATCTAGCACATGACAGCCTCCTCCACACCCCATCTTTCAAAAAGCAATACCAGATGAAAAGAGGAAAAAAACACCCACATACACAACTAAAAAAATAGTCCTCTCAGTGCTAGTTATACTGCAGTCTGAATTCAACCAGTGTTTGTCATCCCTTAGCTCAAAAATGAACAGTTCATGTTTTGTAACACCTTCAGGTTCCAAACTCCAGTCCTTGTGGTGATCACTGAGAGGTTGGGCATCAACTAGTGCTTGACTGGGGCGCTTCCAATAATTTGTGAAGGGGCTGTAGGGTCCAGATAAACCACCACAGCTGCTTCTCATTCCCCTGGAGGAAGAGCTCTGCTAGATTCCAGCTGGGCTCCTATGGCCATAAGTGGTTGGAGGTTTTTGCTTCTGCCTAATGACTGGACACCTTCTGTTTATGGGGGTGCAAGGGACATCCCAGGATGGTCTAGTGCAAATCTTCCACTGACCCCTGGAGGGACTTCCCTGATCTCTGTCCCCTTATCTTACATGCCGTGCCAAACCTTCTGACCACACCACTCCTCTTCAGCTGTCTACTCGCGCCGACCTTTCTCTCTGTGCACACAGAGTCTCTTTCCAGCGCATGAATTCAGTGGTGTTTAGGGCATGGGAGAAGGCAGCTCTTCTGTGTAGAATTCAGTAGTACCTGGAGGACAATGAGAGGGAGCTCACATGGGCACAGGTCTCAGCAGCGTTTGGAGGACAGTGGTGGGAGGGACCCCACACAGGAACAGAGCTCAGTGGCGTTGGGGTAGAGGAGCTGTTAGCATAACTCCAGCTCCTTCTCTACCCTGAGGTCTCATTGGTCATGACTATTGTACGTAGCCCCCAGTGCCTAGTTTGGATCTTGTACAAGGACCAGCGCCCTGAGTTCCTCTGTGTTTCTGTTTCTGGGACTCCTTGGTCCTAACTCAGTCACTGCTCTCTGAATGATCTTCTGGCTTTACACCTTCCTCAGTGCTTTGATCCAAGAAGCCCCTCTCTTGAAACATCTCACTTGCTGGGCTTTGTCTCTCAGTGGGAACTGAGTTAAGACAGGCGGGCACTGAGTAATGGCTATGAGGCTGGACACCAAGCAGCAGCCTGGTAACCACCTACCTCAGGTTCTTACTTCAGGGGGATTTGCCCTGAAGCGCCCACTCCTGATCTTCAGAGATGTTGTTCTGGGGCAGGTGACTTTGGAGAATCCTAGTATGAAAGGATGTTGAAAACAGAGGGAATCTTATGATATATTTCCTCCATCCTTGATCAGCCAAGATTCAGAGAGGCAGAATACCCCCTGATAGTCCACATAGTCTGGTAGGGACCAAATTTGGCTGGAATCTGGGCCCCATGACTCTGTCTTTTATAATAATGATATCCAAATTTTAAAATAAAGTTATCCAACATTTACTTTTCACACTGTGCTTGAACCACCCATTTATTTATTCAGCAAACATCCACATGCTACTTCCTGGAATGGTCAGTGGAGCAGGACAGGGTCCCAGAAGAGCTCAGCATAGAGCTCATTTCTATCTGTGAGGTACTGTTTAATGAGGGAACAGTGTTGCAGACAAAATAAATCACATTCCTGTTCTCAAAAAGCTTACCCTCTGTTGTTGTAGAAGCATAGAGCTCTGCCCTAGAGAAGAAGCTCACTGTGAGAATGGGCAGTGGACATAGATATTTCACCACAGGGTCTTATGTAACTGCAAACATCTAATAGTGAAGACACTCCAGACCTGACAAAACATACTATTTTAATTATCCCTTTCCAGCAGTTTGAGAGAGACCTCCGGCGCTATGCCACCCATGAACGGAAAATGATGTTGGATAACCATGCTTTATATGACAAGACCAAGGTAGGGTTTTCTTCTTGAAATCGACTACATTGACCCCTATCCTCAAGGACTGCTCCCTGAGCACTTTTCCAGAATTGATTTTTATGTTCAAATACAGTTTCCTTTGCTACAAGTATACTTTCCCCTTGAGAGCATCAACTTGAGAGCAGCTGGAGAGATTCTCACAGGACAGGGTCCTCACCTGGCCAGAATGCTTTGGTTCAAAGACAATAAGCTAACTGGGCCTCCATAGCCAGCACAGTGAACAGAACTGCGTTTGCCATATCCCTAACGTAACAGTGAGTTAGAACTCCAGAGAAAACCGAGGTATCCCCCACAAATCACAAATACAACTAAAGTACTGTCAAATGCACCATTTCAAGTGACCCTGTAGGTCAGTCAAGACCTACAAGAAAAACAACTGAGCTGCTTGAAAATATAGATGGACAATTGGCTAAGCTCACGCATCAGCCATATGCTGAGGTCACAATTCAGGTCAGAAAAATAAATCACTGCATGGATTATGAAAAGTTAAAGATATGATTGTGAAGTCCATGAGTGCCAAGGACTACTCTTCTTATAGTGGTCACGGACACTAAACTGGGCTGCATGGTGGAAGAAGACAAAAATAGTTAGAAATAATGAGCCTGGCCTTCTAGCACATTACAATCTGCATTAGATGTATTTAGTTAGGACAATCTCAGGTACAAATGTCAGAAACCAAACCCAAGGTGGTATAGGAGGAAGCAGTGTCCAGGGGTAATACTGGCTTCAGGTGTGGCAGTATCCAGGTGCACAGGCATCCTGAGTGCTGGTCTCATTCCCAGGAAGGGATTTCCCATAAGTCCCATTCTCCCAGTTACACCAACAGAAAGAGTTCCAGCAAGAATCCTAGTGATGTTCATTGGCCAAGCTGGGGTCATATGGCCATCCCTGAGTCCAATACCCTAGCTCTAATAGGCCAGGCTTGGATTGCATGCTGCTCGCAGGACTGGGCCAGTGGAGCAGACCAGGGTCCCAAAGGAGTTCCAAATAGAGCTCACAGAGGAAGGAGCTGCAGGAAACCCTCAGAAGTGAGCGCGCAGGCAGAGGCAGAGTCACATACTGCAGTTTAGGAGACACACAGATTAATACATAACAAATAGGTCAAGTCAGTGAGTGGCTTCTGCACGGCTGGAACTGCTGCTGACAAGAGGGAGCCCTAGAAGAAACAGAGCAGGAGGGGACAGGGTTTGGGTAAGTGTACAGGTTATGGAGACCCCAACATATGCCAATGGTGTTATAATTACTACTTCATTAGCATATAATTTTGGCTGCACTTTCGAATCACTCAGAACATTCAAGTAGGTTGCTGACAAGGCCTCTCCTGAGGTTTTGGTTTCGCTGGACTGAGGTATGGCTCAAGTTTCAATGCTTTTTTAAAAAATTCCATCAGCTGATTCTAATGAACAGCTAAGATTTAGAACTACAGGCTCTGAAAAAATATCTAAACCCCTTTTGCTGGCTATCAAATGATGTCATAACTTTAATTTATTTGGTACCATATTCTTGGCTGGAAAATGTAAAAATCACAAAAATCAGTCATAGTGTTTTTATACTGAGAAGTAGGGCAATGTGTCCTAGCAGTGATTCATTCTAGTAAGACAGTCTCACAAACAGCACTTTCGCTGTGTCTGTACTGAGATGCTTAAGAAAAAAATGCAATGAACGTATTTCTTGTGTGCTTTCAGAGGATATTTCTCAAAGCAGAAAGTGAAGAAGAAATTTTTGCACATCTGGGATTGGATTACATCGAACCATGGGAAAGAAATGCCTAAGAAAAAGTTGTTGATGGATTTCTGCTCTTTTCTGGTCAAACAAATTATGCTTCATATTAATAAAAGATGCCTTAGGAAAGTTTGGGATTCTTTAGGTCTTGCTGAAATGCAGATTACTACTAAAAATAAATCGCTTTGGAGACATGATCAGGCACCACATGGAAATAAATTAATTCTAACAGGCAGGATGCATGAGGGCTGCTTAGAATTCACAGTGAATTTTCCAATAGAAAAGTCTCATTGCTGGTGGCTCAGCCAGAAAGTTATCAAAGCCCATTCTTCTCTCATGGTAGCTGATGTACAGTATATCTTCAATAAAAATAAAAGACAAGATGATGGTGTCGTCTTTTTCTTTGCTCAAATATAAAATATTTTTAAGCACAAATTAAGTTGTGACAGAATAAAGAGCTTGTGATTTAACCTGAGAGGGCAAACAGGTTTAAATAGAAGATACAGGAGTTCCTAAGGAGACTCTGGGTTCCTTCTGGAATTGGTGGAGGAGGAGGTGCTGACTTTTAACTCTAGGCTGAACTCAGTGTAGTTCAAAACTGGCCCCCATAGAACTGTGTCTATGGGGCTCCAAGACATGGTTACATGAGGCACATGGTCCTGCTGCTTTCACTCAGAAGGAAGCGCAGTTTCCTAAAACACCAAGGAACTATCTTTTTTCTGCTTTGAGACTCCCTCAAGAAGATGATCTCCCTTAGTCTCTTCATCTCAGGGAACCCAGGCAAGAGAAACAGACAGCCCAAGCTCTTGGGAACTCCTAGGTACCGGTCCTTTTGCTTCCACCAGCTGGCCACAGGCAGACCACATTCCTGGAGGCATCTAAAAGGCATCTGTTTCAGCTGTTTCATTGTCCCGGGCATGCTGAGGAGCTGGCGGCGAGTCCAGTGAGAGCCCTGGGGGAAAGCACTGAAAAACTGTGCAGAGGCAAGGAGAGCTGAGCAGTGGTGGTCAGTGGGTGTGGAGAGGTCCCAGCCAGAAGTGGTTTCCCAGGAGCCGGGGAGACGCTGGCAGTTCAGAGTTTTTATGCTTGGGCTTTATGGCTGATTTTCCACCATGTCTTTTTATTTTGTTTTGGTTTTTCCATTTTTGGAAAATGGACCCACACTACCCAGACCATTCTTCCTCATATTATGTAGCACACGCTGAGCTAGGTTGATGCAGTATCTGGAAGATGAGATGTCAGCACACAGCGGGCAGGAACAGCTGGGACCCTCAAGAAGTGACAATGGTTACATGGGTCCTCACTCTGACCCAACTAGAGGCCAAACAGCGCTTTCCCTGCAGGATAAGTGAATGCACGGTGCATAAGGATGCTTGAATCACATCTCTCCTAGACACCCTGCCAAGCTTAAAAAGGCCCAGAGACAGAGACTCCATGGAACTCAAAGGATTGCAGGACAGCTGGACATCCTGCAAGCCACACCTTGGATGAGATAGCCAGAACCAAATCATTTCTGTTCTGAGGGTCCCATGGGGGACCCATCACTCCCTGAACTTCCTGTTTATCTTTTTTGAGACAGACCTTCAGATAGGACTAGACCTGATGATCATTGGTTGCTCTCCAGCCAACCAGCAAGCTGCCCTTAAGTGCTTCTGATGAGCCATTGTTCATGGTTGCTGGAAGCATGCCTAGATGTATGCGTGCATGACTATGAGCATGGCAATGGGTACCCAGTTGCTCTCTGAACACTGTAATCATCCACTTTTCCATAGCAAGACTGGCTGTAGTCAGTGTGGGAACCGACCTAGAAGTACCAAGGATAACAATCACAGAACTGGAAAAGGCTGGAGTTGCAGACTGGGGCAGAGGCCCAGACGCTCCTCGTGAGGTCACGAGATAGAAAAGAGATAGAGAAGGCTCAAAGACAGAGAAGGCACAAAGTCTGCTCCAGGACCTGGCACCACCTTTGTCACCAGAGAAGCTACGCCCTCACCCCCAGTGAGAGCTGGCAAGTGTGAGTCACAGACTTGGAAGGTCAGAGATCAGTGTCTGAAATCCCCTCTCATCTTCAGTTTGTCCAAGGAGGGGCTTGGCAACAGGAAAAGAAAATGAACAACAGAGATAAATAGCGGCCACACAGTAGGAGGAGAGCTGTCTCCTGCAGATTAATTACCACCTAGGTGAGGGCAACACAAGCCTAGAAACGGGGCGGGGCGACTCCTTAGTGAGGGATCAGACTGGAGTCGGCTTTAAAAAAGGGAGGTTTGGGTCTCCCGTTAGCTGTCCAAGTGCGGCAGCCAGGGAGGTCCTCTGTATTCTCCAGTTAAAAAGCTAGCTGAACCATGGCTTTGTGTCTGGAATGAACTTTTAGAAATGACCTCCCCAAGACTTCTCACACACACTTAAAACTTAGAAGGGAGAAAAGTTGTTGTCATAGACACCCACGGTAAAATCTGGCAGCCCGTTGGTTAAATATGGCACAGATGTGTTTTCTGTTTGATTATTTGGGTTTTTTTTTAATCTTTCTCTGTGTTTTAAGAATTTTTAAAATTATTGATCAATATTTAAAACTAGAGGGCACGTTAAAAAGGAAAAGATTTATGACCTCATTTGGAAATCATAAAAGACATGGCAATGACATTCTCACGTGGCAGCCCTCTGCTGGAGCTGCCAGGGCGCCCTCTGCCACGAGGCCAGCAGCCCCTCTTCAGCCCTGACCCAGGCTGCCGCTCCCCTGTTGACAGAGTCTGGCTACAATCCTCAGGGTGGTCTAGTCTTCTGACTGCCTCTGTTTCCCAAACGTAATATTCAATATTATTTTAGGTAGCATAAAGATGAATGTTTGTACTGATACCATCAATAACTATTTATTGAGAGCATTTATTTTTCTGGACATCGAACAGAAAACAAAATTGTCAAAACTCCGTATGACCATAAACATGAAAATTATATTCCACAAAATACTGTGTTAAAAAAAATCATGATTTTCTATGTATGGTAGTATAAAGCTTCCTTTAAAAAAATACACTTATCTGGGGCTGGGGATCTTGCAAGCAGGCAGTCGTGAGTTCGATCCCCAGTACCGATAAAAAGGAAAAAAGATAAAACAAACAAAACAAAACACACTTATCTAGAGAAAATTGATCAATGAACGTAAGCGCAAAGCTTTAGGGCTATTACAGTGGCAACCACAGAGAAGATAGAGGCATGCAAATGGCTGACCTGAGGGACAGCGTGATGGTCCTTCTCCTTCAGTAACCAGCTCCCCAGCTCGGATTCTCTGAAACCCACCACACGACAGCCCCAAGCAGTGATTTCCCCAGCAGAGTTTCTCAGCAATTCTAATTCAGCTCCCTTTATTGTAAGATCCTTAATGGAATTTATACAAATGCCCTCTGCTAAAGTGAATCTGTTGTTTCTCTCTAACAATTTGCAGCCCTTGGGGTTAGCCGGATTCAGCCTCTAATGTGTGGGCAGAGCGCCCTCTGGCGGCCACCAGAAGCCCCTTCAGCGGCCAGTGCAGCATCCAAACCCCACTCTGGTTCTGCCCTTGGAGACCTCTCAGGCCATCCCTTCTTCCTCCGAACGTGACACACCAAGATGTGCGGTACCACGGTTCTTGTTGACTTAGTAGAGGATAGGCACACAGGCTGCTGCCCCCTATTCACTAGCTCTGTGGCCGTGAACAACTTACCTAACCTCTCTAAGCCTTGGCTTTCTCCTCTGTAAAACAACGGTTCCTTTGTCTGCACTTGCTAGCGGGTTAAATCAGGCGATGCTGTGAAATGCTGGATTTAGGGTCCTTTGGCGGGAAGAGGGTCCAGGAACAAGCTCATAACACCTCCAGGGAAAGGACATTGCAGCAGACCGTCAGTATTTTTCTTGCAGGCTTCCTCCGAGGTGCGTCCCCAGCTCCTGGAGCCCAAACAGGAGAATGACGGTTTGCAAGCATCTGGCTCTGTGTTTTCCCGGCCTGAGCTTGCATGAATCTGGCCAGCGCCGGCTACACAGGCCAAAATTCCCTAAGCGCAGGGCTGTGGGCAGCCGACAGCAGGCCGGCCAGAACACTCCAGAGCTTCCGTGGATGACAAGGACGAATTTGTGAGACCTTTGGGAGCTTATGGACCTTTGTCTCTTATTAGGTAGATGAAAGCCACAGTGGGAATTACTTTTATGTATTTCAAGTATACTTTTATAGACCAAGTTTACTCTAAGCGTTGCAGAGTCTTCCCTCTCCTGGGTATCGAAGGATCTCCCCAGAAAGCACACCACATCAGTTACAACTGAGTTCATTCTCCTTCTTCTTCTTCTTCTTCTTCTTCTTCTTCTTCTTCTTCTTCTTCTTCTTCTTCTTTCTTCTTCTTCTTCTTCTTCTTCTTCTTCTTCTTCTTCTTCTTCTTTCTTCTTCTTCTTCTTCTTCTTCTTCTTCTTCTTCTTCTTCTTCTTCTTCTTCTTCTCTTCTTCTCCTTCTTCTCCTTCTTCTTCTCCTTCTTCTTCTTCTTCTTCTTCTTCTTCTTCTTCTTCTTCTTCTTCTTCTTCTTCTTCTTCTTCTTCTTCGTCCTTCTTCTCCTTCTTCTTCTTCTTCTTCTTCTTCTTCTTCTTCTTCTTCTTCTTCTTCTTCTTCTTCTTCTTCTTCTTTCTTCTTCTTCTCCTTCTCCTTCTTCTTCTTCTTCTTCTTCTTCTTCTTCTTCTTCTTCTTCTTCTTCTTCTTCTTCTCCTCCTCCTCCTCCTCCTCCTCCTCCTCCTCCTCCTCCTCCTCCTCCTCCTCCTCCTCCTTCTTCTTCTTCTTCTTCTTCTTCTTCTTCTTCTTCTCCTTCTTCTTCTTCTTCTTCTTCTTCTTTCTCTTCTCTTCTTCTTCTTCTTCTCCTTCTCCTTCTCCTTCTCCTTCTCCTTCTCCTTCTCCTTCTCCTTCTCCTTCTCCTTCTCCTTCTCCTTCTTCTTCTTCTCCTTCTTCTCCTTCTTCTCCTTCTTCTTCTTCTTCTTCTTCTTCTTCTTCTTCTTCTTCTTCTTCTTCTTCTTCTTCTCTTCTTCTTCTTCTTCTTCTTCTTCTTCTTTCTTCTTCTTCTTCTTCTTCCTTTTGTACCAGGAATCGAATTCATGATCTTGCACTTGCCAGATAGGCACTGGGCTACTAAGTTAAATCCCCAGCCCTACCCTGATTATTCTTAATGCTTCATTTTGTGTAGACTCAAATTATCTCTCAAAACACATTGGTTTATAGTCTTTAGGACCAATAAAATTGATGTCTTATAGCTTCAATTTCTCATCAGTAAAAGTGGCATAGTAACACTTATGCCAAGCACCACCTGAGACTGGAATAAATAAAATAAGAGACAAAGAAGTGTTTCTAAAACTCAAAAGTGCTATAAATTTTTAAAGGATTAGTCTGCGTCATATAATATGGCCATAGTTCAGTACCTGGGGACTGCTTCTCATAAAGTTAGACACACGAGTTAAAAAATCAATTGGTCATCCCAGACAGGCTGGCATTTAAATTCTGTAAAACAATACAGTTTAGTAAAAGCCCCTGTCCCCCTGTACACAGTGAGGTGGTGATTTGAGGCAAATGGGTCCCTCTATCTCTTCAGAGCTGGCTTTAAATAAATCCTTGTTTGCTTTTTACTGAAACATAAGGCCTCCTTTGATTTGATCACCAAGCAAATGAAGCCTGAGTGTGTGAAACTTTATCACATATGCCAACTCGGGCCCTAATAATTTTTAAAAATTTTTTCAGTACTGGGGATTAAGCTCATGACCTCGTACTTGCCAGGCAGGCACTTACGCGATTGAGCTAAATCCCAAGTCCTTAATTTTTTCTTTTATTTTCTTTTTTATTTTAAAGAGATTAAGACAAAACAGGACATAAAGCAGATCAGAACAGAACAATGTAAGCAACACTATATTTCACCAGAAGACAACACAAATTAACAGTAACCACCATAATGTTTCTTTCTTTGAAATAGTTGAGTATAACTTCATATACAATAGTATCAAACATAACAAAATAGTATAATACCATTCAAGAGAGTGAAAGTATTACAAGGCAGAACCAAATAGCAGAGAACCAAATAGTAGAGAAGGAACAATGGCTACTATATTATCTCATTTTCCATAGGAAATTTGTTTATACTATCACACATAATACAATCCAATAAGATACAACATGAAAGAACCAATGGAAACAGAAGAACAAAAACATGGTAGGACTTCAGAGTAAGATGATATTAAATCAGCACTGGGTATTATAATGCTTGTTTTCTTCAAAATAGCTGTCCATATCATCACAGATAATAAAATCCAATAAACCAGGATAAATCCATTCCGACTAATGAATGCAATCATTATAAGGCTTCAAAGCAATGTGATGGGGAATCATGATTACCATAAAATCTTATGTACTCTTACCATTTCTTATACTAGAGAAACTATACAGTATTTACACATGTGATTTTGATTTATGAGTATATTTATAAATAGCTCAATGTGATCATTCTTGATAGTTGAGTAGCACTCCATTGTATAAAAATACCACAACTTTTTTATCCATTCCTCAGTTGATGGACACTTAGGTTGCTTCCAAGATCTGGCTATTACAAATTGTGCTGCTATAAACATGGGTGCACATATATCACTGTAGTATGATGTTTTCACTTCTTCTGGGAATATGCCTTAGAAGTGGAATAGCTGGGTCAAATGGGACTTCCAATGCCAGCTTTTTGAGGAATCTCCAGATTGACCTCCACAGTGGTTGCACCAGTCTACACTCCCACCAACAGTGCAGGAGAGTTCCTTTTTCCCCACAGCCTCTCCAGCATTTTTTGCTGGTAGTTTTCTTGATCCTGGCCATTCTTTCAGGAGTGAGATGGAATCTCAGTATGGTTTTAATTTGCATTTCTCTAATGAGTAGTGAGGATGAAGATTTTTTCATGTATTTATTTGCCATTTGTATTTTTTATCTGAGAACTGTGTATTCATTTCAGATGCCCATTTTTGTATTGGGTCCTTGAATTTTGGGGGTCTGTTTTTTTAATTCTTTATATGATTTAGACAGAAGTCCTTTGTCTGAGGGACAGTTCACTACGATTTTTTCCCATTTATGGGTTTTCTTTTCACTATGCTGGAGATTTCTTTTGACATGCAGGAACATTTTAATAAGATGTGATCCCAGCTATTGATTCTGGGAAGAGTTTCCGTGTGGTTTGATTGCTATTGGTAAATTCTCTACCTACCCCTATGTCTTCAAGATTTTTACCTACTTTGTCTTCCAACAGATTTAGTGTTTCTGTTTTAATATTCAGACCTTTGATCCATTTAGATTTTAGTTTAGTGTATGGTGATAGGCATGGGTCTAGTTTTAGTTTTCAGCATATGGAGAGCCAGGTTTTCCAGAACCATTCATCAAAGAGACTGTCAATCTTCCAGTGAACATGTTTGGCCCCTTTATCAAAGATAAGGTGGTTGAATGTGTTTGTAGTTGTGGCTGTACCTTGTAATCTATTCCACTGATCTTCAGAGCTGTTTTTATTCCAGCACCATGTTGATTTTATTACAGTAGCTTTGTAATATAACTTCAAGTCAGGGATTGTGATGCCTTCTGCCTTGCATTTGCTGCTTAGAATTGTCTTTGCTATTCTAGGTCTCTTCTGGTTCCAGATGAATTTTAGAAATGATTTCTCTAGATCTATGAGGTATGTTGATGGTATTTTCATTGGGATTGCATTGAATCTGTATAACAGTTTTGGGAGAATGGCCATTTTCGCACTATTTATTCTTCCTATCCATGAGCAAGGGATGTCTTTCGATTTTCTGAGATCGTCTTCAATTTCTTTTTCAGGGTATTATAATTTTCCCTGCATAGACTTTTTGCTTCTTTTTTTTTTTTTTTTTTTTTTTTTTTTTTTTTTTTAATTTAAGAGGAAAAAGAGAAAAACGCAAAACAAACCAAAGCGGCGTAAGGGTACACGCAATACAGAACTACAAAAAAAAACCAAACCAAAACAAAACAAAACAAAAAAACGTAACAGTAAGAAATCACCTGCTAGTAGATTACACACTATCTTCTTGAAAATAGTTCCTCAAATCACAGTATCAAAGAACACAAGGTGGACATTCAAACAGGGAGACTGCAAACAGCTGTGTTCAATGTTCCAAAAACATTGACAAAGTCAGCTATTTAACACCCCCAAACACACTTGCTGTTATATCCGTTAGAGCTCTTTTTTTTTTCCCTCTCTTTTTTACAACAAAATTTACACATCTTGGATTTTATTACTCCTTAGTGCTTATTACTTTCTTTGGGGGGGGGGGAAGAATACAGTCAAATATGGCAAAACAAAGCTGTCAGTCAATACCAAGGATAGACATAGCACATGGTGTAGAACAGAGTACAAGTTTATCAACAATGGTTATCAACATTGTCCCTTGTTTCCTTAAAAAGAATTGTCTATCTTATTAGATATTATAAAGTTGGACAAAACAGTAGAGAACAAGACCAATAAAACTTAGGCATTGTAAACATTACAGGACTTCCAAAGAAGACAATAGTCAAACGAGAATGGGTATGTTAGTGAATCTTATTGTCTTCAAAGTAGTTGCCTATGTCTTCAAACTTGATACTATCATATAGAATGGAACAGAGTCTAATCAGTCAAAACAAGATCGTGGGAGTACTACAGGACTTCAAAACAAGTTAATAGGAAATCGAAAAGAGTTACTATTTATATATCCTAATTTTTTTGAATTTTTTCTTTAATTAAGACAAACATAAGAAATGACTAAATAATTTTTTTTGAAACAATAAGGGGGAGATTGAGATAAAACAGGACATAACAATATAACAATAGAGGTCACAGCATGACTGTTTCAACAACCTAGTACTTCACCACCTTATAACCTGACTTAATAGTAGTTACCATAGTGTCTTTTTCCTTGAAATATTTGGATAAAACTTCATATACTCTAGCTTCAAATATTTTCATATCAAGAAGCCCAGAATAAAGCCTTTCTAATTAATGAGTGAAAACTTTATAAGGCTTCAAGGCCACCTAATGGGGAATCATGATTACCACATATTTTTATATATTTGAATCATTATTTACATTAGGGAAACTATTCGGTATTCACACATGCGAGATTGATTTATTTCACTAATGAGTATGGTCTCAAGCTGCGCCCATTTATTGATAAATATCTGAATGTGATCCTTCTTTATAGCTGAATAATACTCCATTGTATAGAAATACCACAACTTTTTTATCCATTCCTCAGTTGATGGGCACTTGGGTTGTTTCCAAGATCTGGCGATTACAAATTGTGCTGCTATAAACATAGGTGCACATATATCACTGTGGTATGATGCTTTCAGTTCTTCTGGGAATATGCCTAGAAGTGGAATAGCTGGAATAAATGGG